TGATAGGGCCAGGATACGATAAGCGAGGCAGCAGAGGGGAAGGAGAGAGGGGAGAAAACGAGAGGAAGGAGAAAAAAAGAGCAAGAGACGACGAGCAGCAGCAGAGAGAGAGAGAGAGAGAGAGAGAGAGAGAGAGGAGAGACAGCGTGCGTGTGCGTGTGTGTGTGTGTGTGTGTGTGTGAGAGAGACAGCGATAAAGAGAGAGAGCGCACGTACGTGTGTGTGTGTGTGTGTTGTGTGTGGTGTGGGCGCGCGTGTGCTGGTGCTGTGCTGTGTGTGCTGTGCTGTAGTGTGTGTGTAGCTGTGTGCGATAAGAGAGAAGGCGGGGGGGGGGGGGGGGGGGGGGGCGGCGGCGGGGGGGCGGGGGGGGGGGGGCGGAGGGGGGGGGGGGGGCGGGGGGGGGGGGGGGGGGGAGGGGGGGGGGGGGGGGGGGGGGGGGGGGGGGTGGGGGGGGGGGGGGGGGGGGGGGGGGGGGGGGGGGGGGGGGGGGGGGGGGGGGGGGGGGGGCGGGGGGGGGAGGTGCGCGCCACGTCGTGTTTGTGTGTGATAAAGAGCAGAGAGAGCCGAGAGAGAGCAGAGCAGAGATGAGAGAGAGAGAGAGAGAGAGAGATGAGAGAGACGAGAGAGGAAGACGAGAGAGACAGCGGCATGTTGCGTTGTTGCGTGTGTGTTAGAGAGAGAGAGAGAGGAGAGAGAGAGAGAGCAGAGAGGCAGGAGAAAGAGAGAGAGAGAGAGAGAGAGGAGAAGACAGCGGCAGTGCGTGTGCGTGTGTGATTTAAAGCAGAGAGAGAGAAGAGACGAGAGAGCAGCCAGAGAAGAGAGAGAGAGGAGAGCAGAGAGAGAAACAGAGAACGCCAGCGTAGCGTGTACGTATGTGTGTCTGGTGCTGTGTGTGTGTGTGTGTCAGCGCATAAAAGAGACGAGCGCGCACGTACGTGTGCTGTGTGCTGTGTAGTGTGTGTGTGTGTGTGTGTGTGTGTGTGTGTGTGTGTGTGTGTGTGTTGGTTGGGTGTGCTGTGTAGGGGTTAGCGTTAGGGCTTAGGGTCAGGATAGGCGTAGGGTTAGGCTAGGTTAAGTTAGGGGTAGGGTTAGGGTAGGTTAGAGTTAGCGGTCCGGATAGGGCTTAGAGCTCCGGAGAGCGGTTCAGGGTTTAGGGTTAGTTTACCCTATCTATATTCATCGAATATGACAATATATCATAGATATATATATAGTATATATTCATATATAGCGTCTAGCGTGCTGCTAATATATATACATATTATATGTCGTTATTTATCATCTCTTATAGGGTATAGGGTCCGCGGATAGGGTTATCTTAGGGTCCGGGTTAGCGTATAGGGTCCGCGGTTAGCGGTTTAGGCGTCCGCGGAGGGCGTTAGGGGTTAGGCCGTCTTTTTTAGCTGTACCGTTAGGGTCGGTTAGGGTCAGGAATACGCGGCTCTCGAGTTAGTTAGGCGTTCAGCCTAACCCTCTCCCGGACCCTAACCCTATCCCGGACCCTAACCCTATCCCGGACCCTAACCCCAACCCTAACCCTAACCCTATCCGTGACCCTAACCCTAACTCGAACCCTATCCCTGACCCTAACCCTAACGGTAAACCTTTAGGGTTAGGGTCCGGGAGAGGGTTAGGGTTAGGGTTTTAGGGTCCGGGACACCTATACCTATATATGAATATATACATATATATATATCTATATATGTATATATCGATGAATATGAGGGTTAGAGTCCGGGAGAGGGTTAGGGTTAGGGTTAGGTTTACCCTATGGGTTAGGGTTAGGGTCCGGGATGGTCAGGGGTAGGATTAGGGTTAGGGATAGGGTTAGGGTTAGGGTTAGGGTTAGGGTTAGGGTTAGGGTTAGGGTCAGGGGTAGGGGTAGGGGTACGGTTAGGGATAGGGTTACGGTTACCCTAACCCTAACCCTAACCCTAACCCTAACCCTAACCCTAACCCTACCCCTACCCCTGACCCTAACCCTAACCCTAACCCTAACCCTAACCCTAACCCTAACCCTACCCCTAACCCTAACCCTACCCCTAACCCTAACCTTAACCCTATCCCTAATCCTACCCCTAACCCTATCCCTAACCGTACCCCTACCCCTACCCCTGACCCTAACCCTAACCCTAACCCTAACCCTAACCCTAACCCTAACCCTAACCCTAACCCTAACCCTAACCCTAACCCTAACCCTAATCCTACCCCTGACCCTAACCCTAACCGTATCCCTAACCCTATCCCTAACCCTAACCGTAACCCTACCCCTAACCCTAACCCTAACCCTAACCCTAACCCTAACCCTAACCTTAACCCTAAGNAAAACGGCCGAAAACGGCCGAAAACGGGCGAGTAGGCTCGCTTCAACGCATTTTTTTCGACACTTCCTGTTAACTCACATCATGTTTAGCGGTTGAAATGAACAAAGAACACCCTCACCAGTACCCCTGTTGAGTTTCAAGGGGCTACCCCCACATTTAAGAAAATGCCATAGGTTTGAATGGGCTACATGTTCTCTATCCTTGAACCAGCACATTTGCTATAGGTGCATTGGTTACAGTATCTGCTGAAACAGCACCAGCACAGTTTCAAACTAGACAGAGGGCACTTACGGAGAATGCATACCTCCGCCAGAATGTATAGGTTTGGAAATAACCAGGGGCGACGGGCGATTTCGCCCTCGGCGCAGCCCAAATAGCCCCTAAAATCCGCAAAACCCAATTCTTTGGGGCAATCATTTTCTTCAGCGTCGCCCTCATCTCTGCTAAGAAAATTTCACGAAATTTCTGTTCTAGGATCAGCATACGGAATTAACATGTTCGCCTCATTTTCGGCGAGCTTTCCGTTTTACAGGAATTAATTTAGATCTACAGCTATCGTAAATAAACGCTCAGTGCATAGTGGGAAAGGGAAAGAAGGTATATCGGCTTTTGCTTGCATGTTAAAGCGCTGTAATAATCAACTGGTTCTAATCACTTGCTTCAGTATGACTATATAGTCTTCGACCGATACGGTTTGTAAAAAGGTGTTTATTTTCCACAGCACCGGCGCTCAGTACAGTGGTCGACGGGTACAAATTATAGACTGGTACCCGGTCCTACCTCTCGGCTTAGTTACTCGATGGGTATCGAGTAATTGAGTAATCGAGGTGGGAGAGAGTACCAGTCTATGAAAATTACATACAGGATACAAAATTACAAATATTACAAACATATTAATAAATCATGACACGAAATTATTATACAATATATAGCACCAACAATATCACATTAATGGTCTAATATAATCAAATGTAATAAAATGTTAACATGCATTCAGTTCAACGTGCAACGAAAAAGTAGCCCCTAACACACAAAAATAGCCCCAAAAAAGTCCAAAATAGCCCCAAGGCTCTAATAAAAGTAGCCCTTAAAAAATAAAAATGAATTCCACCCCTGCCATGTAACATATGTATGTGTTACGAGCTGGCTCGCTGCTCGCCGCTCGCTGGTGGCGGCTGCTGACTGACTCGCCTGCTGCTGACTCGCCGCTCGCTGATGGCTGCTGCTGACTCGACGCGCTATCGATCGTGCTGCGCGGACTGCGGACACACACACGAACGCACGAGACCGATCACATTACCTCCCCTCCAACTCCATTGGGCGGAGGTAATTATTGGAGTCTCAAAAAAAAAAATACAATACAATTTAAATACATGATATGTTTATATTGTTAGATATATTTCTAAAATCTGACATGAACAACTGTAAAACATGTTTAAACTAGAAACGAGCAGTTGTGTATGATACATTGTGTATGAATGGAATATCTATATAAGGACGTAGAAGGCAGGTAAAGTTAAATAAGTCACAAAGTGTGTGTGTGCGTGTGTATGTGTGTGTGTGCATGTGCCTTATGTGTGATGCGTTGGGTGGGTGGGGGGGGCTGGTCAAAACCAATCTGGACAGACGAGTAATATGGTATATATATAAGTACAAATATGCCTCCATTCACACTGAAAGCAGAACATATTGTTGGAACTACCTTACCAATATTGCACATGCTTTTCGCACATCTAAATAATGCATTTTGAAGTGAAATGTGCATAAATTTCATTGAATAATTTAATTTCTTTTAGGTTTTGTATTTTTACCCGAGTCTCTGATCATCTTCAAATTTTCGCTGAAGGTGGCTTATCCGTAAAGCGAAGACCCATCGTTTTTGGTGTGGGCGGAGTCATCGTTGCGCATTGGTAACAACATCTTGTGGAAATATTGTAGAACCTGTAACCTTGGCTGGCGTTTTACGGCGGTATTGTCATGGAATTTGGCCACTAGGGCAGATATAAGATTGTCCTTATATATATAGTATATATATCTATATATATATGTATATACTTGTCCTGTGTAGCCAATTTTAGTGACAATCGCCTAAAAACTGCAGAAGTTACAGTTTAAATATTTTGTGACCAAAAAATGTTGTTACCATGGCAACGATGGCCCACACCAAAAACGATTGGCGTCTTCGCTTTACGATAACGCACCTTCATGCGAAATTTGAAGATGATCTGTGAACTGCAGCCGGTAGAGCGCTCCAAGGAAATCTCTGCGGCGGCGGCGGCGGATCGACGATGCCAAATCCCATCATAAAGTACACGTATGGAATCGCCCAGATACTGTTCTATGGCTGTCCAAATCCTTGGCCATTGACGACAGCTTCCAGCATTTCTTGCTGGAATGGTTCAGCTGATATAGTATTTGCATTCACTGGAATGGACAGGATCAGTCCACATGTGTTTGCGGTAATTTTCCTCTGTGTTGTTACATGATCAAAGTGTATTTCCGGATTACTTGGAGAAAATCCCTCTATCGGCAAAGATTCCATTCCAGTGACAAACATTAGCAGGTCTGTCATAGACATTGTTATCGTCTCATCCCCTTTCATATTGTTTACTGCGCCATCTGCAAAATTAGAAAGCTTTGCTGTACATGTACGGCAGTACAGTGATGGGTCTTCTTAAAGAGGACACAAATTTGAGAGCATGTAATGTGTGCCTTTGATTCATTAGGTAATATATCTAAAATCTTCAATCGACCCAAATCATTTCCTTGTGGCCATTGCCTATACTGCCAAACTATCTCCGTTCACGAGGGAATTCTGGGTAAATGTGCATGAGGATCTTGATGGGGGATATCCAGCAACACTTCACATTAAAAATTTACCCCAATCACACATCACACAAAAATTTTGTCCATCATTTTAAAATCGCGGTGGAAGTTAAAATACAGCTAATTACTGAAGATTACCATGATTTTACTTTTAGCATCTGCATAAGATCACGTAACTGATCATTTAGTTTAGTAGGCCTACATGTATCATGTGTATGTGCCTTGAACATGTTGAATTTATAAAAGTACGTACAAAATATACACGCTAAAATTTCACGGATATTATTGCCAATCACGCTTCACGTTTGAGGTTGTAGATCATGCCTCGCATTAAAATATTTGCCCAAATAACATGATTTTTGCCTTAATCACACTTCACGCTATACACCATCAAGACCCTCGTGTATAGACACTGGGGAGGGTAATGATTTGAGTGACTCCGAGATAATCATATTCATTCATACAGGGATTCAACTCACCATTCAGTGCTTCTAACAGCATATACCAGTTAACCATGATCTCCTCCTCTGCCTCTCTCTTATTTGACCCTTCCACACTGTGGACTGGGGTGAAGAGCCGACCCATGTCTGTTGCAGCGAGAGGCTCAGTAGTCTTCATCATTACAGGCAGGAACATGCTTGGATGTCTGCGCATCATTGGTAAAACATCTAAACATGTTAGCCCTGTAATGAAATAGAAAATTAGAATTATGTTCAGCAGACTTTCAGTAATAGTAACTATATATATACTTTGAATGCCATTTGACCAGAAAATTAATCAATCAATGCAAGCCCAGACCAGTTAATTTTGAGTATTGACAGATTAAATTTACCTTCATCCAACTGTTGTAGTTCTGCACTGCAGCGACAAATCACGTCATCTTTTATCAGATGGAGTGATAAGTCAGATTTGTCCTGTAGCGACAACACTTTTGAATAGCCGATGTCATGGCGTCGTTCCAGGTGCTGTTCTACATAATTGACAAATTCCTCCTCATTTTCCATGTTGGCAATCTGGAAAAAAATAGGTCTGTGATGGAAACAAATATATTTTAAAGAAAGTGCAAAATCCATTGGGCCTATAAGGGACAGTGGTCTAGTGGTACTGTCGGGGCTCACGGATCCAGACGTCCTGGGTTCGATCCCGGCAAAAAAATTTCTGTGACCATTCCTTAGACAAGGTTCTTTATTCCCATTGCTTCTCTCCACCCAGGAGTATTTCTTAAATTTAATTTTACCTCCCCTCCCACAAGAAAAATGAAAGCTTCCATCCACCACCAACCACCTGGAGAATTGTGCTGGAACAGAGTTGAAGGACAAATAATAGTCCTGGTTCAATAATACAAACATACCTTTAGCAAATGTTCTCTGAGCTGTGCATCAGATACATCTTCAATGCTCAAATCCTCTGACAGCTGGCCAGAATTCAGAATATGTTCTGCAGTTGGCCTGCAGAACAGAAGTGGATTTGGGCCACTGTTCATGATCGAGAGTGCTATTAGCTGCCCAACTAACTTGTAGTGCTGTTTAGAGAGATGCAGCACGTTGTGACTGAGGTTATCACGGTCTGTCATCAATGACGACTTTCTGATTGACCTGCAAAGATAAATACTAATGCTATCAAAACACTGTCCCTAAAATTACTATTGTAAAATATGAGGCTCAATTTAAGTCAATATTAATAGGCATTGTGCTGCGAGATCTGGAATATAAATATAAGTTCATACTAATATTTGATATGTGGGTGTATAATGGATGGAACACAATCTGAGTTTTGTCCACAAGAACCATTCAACTGCTTATATATCAGCTGAAGATTATCGCTGAACGTTCATCTAACTGTATTATGCTAACCCCGGCAGTACATCTTAAAGTGGAAAGTGTTAGTGAAACCAAGCATCCAATTGACACCTGGATTAATATAGGCAGACTTGGGAAAACTGCATATAACTATCTTTTGTTAATACCTGAAAACCTCGGTGAAAAATTCTCTAGTTGGGCCACCCTCATCAACAGCAGGCTCTCCGACGAAGATTATCTTTATAGACTTTGTTTTAAAGATGTGTGGGTCAGGAATTTGCTGCAGGCGTCTGAACGCATCAGTCATAATGTGCTTACGCCGGACAGCAAAAGTTAATGCTTTATGAATCCTCAGGACCTCTTCAAGGTTAGATGGCTGGAACTCACTGAAAAAAAATGGCAATGAAAGATTGTAAGTGCTCTTCGATAAAAAAAATTCTGAAAACATTGGCATTTTTATGCTGACCAGTATTAAAAATCGGTCATTCCCATCATAGCATGAGTTTGTGCAATGAATTATAACTGTAAACAGCTTTAATTATTTTAGGGAGTGGAGAGTATATTTTATAACATATTTTATATTGAGTATTACTATGTCAGGGTTCTTGTTAACTTTTGACAAAGCAGGTAATTTGACAATGAATAGCAGGTAACTGTTTTTCCGGCACGGACGGTAGGGTGAGCGGCGAAGGCGCGAAGCCCTGCTAGGGGGGTCCGATGGGAAGGCACCCCCGGAAAAAAATTTCTGATTTGACTCACAAATAGCCTATTTTGATGGGTATGGGTTCTAGAATTTGGTAGTTTAGATAGGAAAATATATGCTATTAAGTTAGTATCTATTATAAAAAGAAAAACCCGCCCGTGCACAGAGTTAGTCTTGGGTTGGAAGTATTTAAAATAAACTTCGTTTTTTCAAATATGGATTAAATATTTTACCGCCTTTAGTGGGAGTTTCTCTCAAATTGATAGCCGGTAACAAATTGCGCGATAGGCGGTAAAAATAACCGTTAAAAATAACCGTTAAAAATAACCTATTGTTTACCGGCTATTAACAAGAACCCTGCTATGTACATACTTTAGTGTTAACATGCTGTTATGTTGAGCAGCTAGAATATCTGCCATCTCTTGGTCGTCATCATCAATCAGCATAATCATTTCCTCTTCATCAGGATCTGTCAGGTCTATAAAGTTACTGAAATGCAAGTGTGTATTAAAGCAGTGAAAAAAAATTCCCAAACGAAATGTACCCAAAATTAAAACATGTTTAGCATGGCCCTTGATAGACATCTGACACAAGTCATGTTACCCAGCACAATACAGCACATAGTGGGAAAGGAGTGTCAGCCGAGCAAAATGGGTCTATTTCAATACATGTCTATCAATACTAATACAGGGTCCCTACCTGGAGAAAGACTGAAATTCCATGATTTTGAATTAATGTTCTGATGGTGTGTGTGGGTGGGGGAGGGGTGGAGAAACTTGCAGACAATCATATTTTTCATATTTAAACACTATTTTGAGGAATAAAACATATATAGCATTGAATACCTGTATATGTCGGTCCGGCCAGTAGTGGGCCTACTCGATGCCGATCGGATTACATTGGTATGTAATATGTCGGAGTAGTCCTGAATATGATCACAAGAACAAATTGAGGGAGGATGCAAAGCTGTCCAGGAGACATGCATTGTGTGATGAATATGATTGAGTAAATATGATCAGAAGAGATTGAGGGAGGATGCATTCATAACCTAATTTACAAAACAGTTGCCATTACTCAATCAATTATGTAGGCCTATCACTCACGACACTAGTAGATGTGCCACATGCTGCCATGTCAGTATGGGAAACTTCAGCAGCTGACATCTGGGTTGGATCCTGCAAGGACAAAATAAATAATACTATTTTCACATCAAGTCTCATAAAGGTCTTTCACAATTACCAACAAGTGCCGCGGAGCGACAGCGCTCATCTAACGTCTACTGCGGTGACTCTGTGGTGGAGTGGTGGGATTCTAGTAAACCCTGTTAGTCCCAAATGTGTTCACATACACGCCGAAACAGTGGAATGCACAGGGATGGTATCAGGAACATTCTCAAAGGAATGTTCGTTGGGATCGTTATGAAAGTTGCCACGAGATGGCGCGTACGTTTAAGTGTCTTCAGATTAAAGATGGAAGCTCCCATCGTACGTAGTAGCAATAACTATTTGCAAGACAGAATAGGTAAGCACTCATCCATTTACCTACGCAAGCCTACAGGCTGCAATAGAGAGCTGCCACCTGTAACCAATTAATGCAGGCAAAAACTACACAGTACCACCACCACATGCACTGGCAGTCGCCGCTGGCAGTGGCATACGTTACATGTAACATACTGACAGTACAGAATGCCATAGAAATTATTACTCGATTTAAGGAGCATAAACCTTTTCAACCAACTTTAGCTTTTGAAATTTCACTGTGACATGTGTAGCCTCATACATCCAGCATGTTATAATCACTAGCAACCGGCTAGTGAAAGTTATTTCTTAACAGTACAGTAAACACTTCACGTTTAAACCCTCCTCTGAGGGCGTCAAAAGGTTATCCGAACACTTATCTTCGCATGTCAGCGAGAAGGTTAATTCATTGTCCTTTTCAATAAGGCCATAAAAATGCTAGGGTCACCGCTGAAATCAAAAAAAGTTTTTCAACGGCCTCGCGTACAGACCCATGTCTTCAGAATAGATGTTAAATATCTGCCCTGCTTGCCGACCTGTACCTCCAAGTTTCGAAACCAGTGATGGTTTCTACATCATGCTATCACACGGACTATCCACGAGCTAGGGCGAGCCGTTTAGATTTTGCCGCAATTCTGGCATTCCCCCTATACCTTAAGTTAAGGAGTGAATGTTCCCTCTTTACACCTCTTGAGCTATGACTTTGACCCCCAGCTCTCGATCATCCACTCACTCGTTTTCGGAACCCCCAGCGTCCGATATCGTGACCGTAGTCGAGCTCCGGTTAAATTTGTGCCATACTGTTGACTGACTGGACGCGCACGCAGGACGTACGGACGACGACGATCATGCGATTCTACAAGCTGCAGTCTGACTACGTCAGATAGCTAATAAATATGAGCTGCAGTTTCATGTGGTGATTAACCCTGAATATGCTTAAATTTATGCCACTGATTTGACTAGGAGAAAATGAAGGACAAAAAAGACGGTGGAAGAAAAGTAATGGGCGACCTGTTGCATTAAATTATATGGTATATGCTACTGGATGGTTGCCAACTCTAGTTAATTATCTCATACTAGTTCTTTGACCACTTATTTTATTGACTTGACTGCTAGATGACATTGCTCATGGTATGGCATATTATGAGTGATTGCTGCACTTACATTCATTTTTATTCCAAGCATGTATTATACACGCTTGCTATATAACCTGTGATTAACTGTACGTGGACAGCTCTCTTGGCCTGCCGCAATTTGACTGCTGCCAGTCCATGTATCGAGGTGGCCCACATCCCGAATCCTTTTCCCGCTCTGCTCGTCGATATTGTGATAGCTGTTTCTTTGAAATTTTCCATTCTGGCTTCACGAGTCAATGATGTGCCCACTATGGTGTGCGGCATTCATGTCCTCGGGAATCCCCAGTAGGAAAGCTTATCTGAAATTACCCGAAATAAAATACATTATTATGGGAGTGGTTAGAGCAATGTTATATTAGATTTTAGTTACTCTACCCATAAATCATTACAGACTAGAGACGTATTCTTTAACCCTGGTGGCAATTCCCCGGTACGCAGGTACTGATGGCATTGACCCACCAGTAACGTTAAAGGCATAATATGGTCTATTGTTATGACAATTTGTAACGAATGCTAGATGCTAACTGGACCTTGTGTCAGTTAACAAAACATGACCTTAAATAGACAAAAACGCGTAGTTAGTTTGGTCCATATCATGCTAGTTATCATCCTTGTGTTTTAAGCGTGCTCGAGCGCGACCGCGCTCATCGCCGCGCCTCGAGTGATCTAGCGAGGAGTCGAAAAAACGCCGGCACAAGCATTATTCATACACGCACACTGGTTTTTTTCCTTCTTCTTTTTTTCATTATTTTTTTTTCATTAATTTCAACTTATAAACGCGAGACTAAACGCAAATGGTTGTAAACTCAAGACATTGCCGGAGTCGAGTTCAAGTTGTTTACTAACGACAGCTCGCCAAAAGAGTCTAGAAGCTAGAATGGACGAATTGCGTGATTGGTTCTATTTATTAGAAAAGGATATAATAGATCTACTTTGATAACAATTGAGTGTTAGTCTCTGTGTGACTCAACTATTGACAATGTGGTGATTTCAACGTTATCCACCATTCAAGAACTTGATATTTTGCTAGGAGTTAAAAAAAATCCACCTTATAATGAACTGTCAAGCATTAATAGTACAAATGCAGAGCTAATTTTTAGCCCAAAATGCTGGAAATGGTACACACACGTGTACTTGCACAAGTACGCACGCACGCACGCACGCACGCACGCACGCACGTGTACGTGCACACACGGACACACGCACGCATGCACGCACGTGTACGTTCACACGCACGCACACACGCACGTGTACGTGCACACGCACGCATGCACGCACGTGTACGTGCACACGCACGCATGCACGCACGTGTAGGTACACACGCACGCACGCACGCATGCACGCACGTGTACGTGCACACGCACGCATGCACGCACGTGTACGTGCACACGCACGCATGCACGCACGTGTAGGTACACACGCACGCACGCATGCACGCACGTGTACGTGCACACGCACGCACGCACGCACGCACGCACGTGTACGTGCACATGCACCAGTGAAAAAAATACACAGGGGCTCGGGGCGATTTAGCCCCCGAAATGCCAAAAAGAGCCCCTGTAAATTTGCAGAGAGTTCAATGCAAACCAAATTTTAGAGTGCTATTTTCATGCACGCAAGCTTGAAAAGTAGCCCCCGAAAAATAAATTTTAATTTTTTTCCTGACATGCACGCACATGTACGTGCACACGCCCGCACTCACGCATGCACGCACGTGTACGTGCACACGCACGCACGCACGCACGAACGCGTGTGTACGTATGCACGCACGCACGCACGCACGCACGAACGCGCGTGTCTGTACACACGCACGCACGAACACACGAACGTTTACATACACACGCACGCACGCATGCATAATAAATCGGGTAATAATCGCTATCTGGTGTTGTCGTGTAGACGCTACATAATCTCTAACTCGAGTTAAGGTTCGTCGTGTAGACAGGCTATAGTGGTTATGTGACGTCACATGCTGCTACGGGTGTTGTGCAGAGAATTGTTTGTCCCGGGTAAATTGTTTGCCTAGTGACGGCTCTCCTGCTCAGCTTCTCTGGCCCCTTCGTGGTGGTGGCATTGTCCAGATGCGTATAACAACTAATGAGCTCGTAGAATGCATCTCTGCATGGGTGTATCCTTGGTATCAAGGCACAAGTAAATAAGCGTGGTTGCTAATGAACGGGTACCCACATGTCTTCAATTTCGGACACAGGTGTATTCGTTTGACAAATATATGTAAATACGTGTAGTGCGGTCTGCTTCCCATGTTTAGGCTGTGGCCAAGGTTAGTTCGCGATCCCCACATAGTGTTGGCTCTCAACATTCACAGCCTACATCACGAGCGTCCGTGATTTGTAGGTTCATTACAATCAGAGCTAGCTTAGGGCCCACTGTTACGTATACAGTTACTGTACTATTGCTAGCGTGCCAGCTGAGCGGCAGCGTGCCAGCAGCAAGAGCTTGCAATAGCTGGTATTGCAACGGTAATAGCTGGAGATGATCTCCCAGTGCGCAGAGATACTGCATGAACGTAATAAACACGGACGCTCGTGATAAGGTAAAATGACAAGGTAAGGAAGTAATAACGTTTTATCGGGGCTGTCCGTTTATAGTCCGTGGGTGTCCGTCAGTTTTCGTTCGTGTGTTCTGCACCGTTTACGTGTTTCCCATTTCATAGTGTAAATGAACTTAATTTCTGTACGCAGGTTCGTACGATTCGTCAAATTGGGTTCTAATATCCGTTTTCACATATTATATGTTGCTTGTAATCTCAAGATCTTCGTATATATTCATTTATTCCCAAGAGTAAAACCATAACGTACGGAATGCGCACTCACCACAATGATCGAAATCACTGATCAATGATAGCATTGTGTACGGCAGAGCATGCGTGCGAAAATGCACTATAAACCTGTATCACACCCGCTTCGCGGCAGCTTTTTGAAAGTGTGGACAACCGATTTTTGGACTGCAGAATTTCAAGTTTCGACATTTCTATGTAACCAGGCACGTGATAATTAGGACAAACTAAATACCCGATTTGGCTATAAGGTAATGTAGCTTATTAAGCACACAAGGTGCCAGTTACCTAAGCATTCATTAAAATGCATTTAACAAATTGACCTATTATGCCTTAACATATATCATCTAAAGTGGCAGCAAACTAGGCTGTTGTAGCCGAACATATAGATCTGGCCATTTACATATTGTACATTTGATGAAGGCGGTTTTGTCAATTATATGCCTAAAATTGGGCTGTCGGCTGGATCTAACCAGTTATGGAAAGCAAAGACAGGCTTAATAGCTATACACCCCACTCTGCAGGGGATTAATTAAAAAAAAGTTCAAGCCTGTTTCCAAGAGACAATAACCACCGGCTGTTTAAATAGTGAGATCTTGCGGCCCACCCACACATAACTTAACATTCCAAAACTCTTAATACAGTTTCTACGAATGATATATAAACAGAATCGTACCACTGTCGCAGTCAAGATCATTAAAATCGTGTCCATGCCCTCTCCCTGG